ACCCTAAACCCTATAAACCCTTAGACTTCAGGGCGGTAGTGTTCAGGCTGTAGAGCATAGCGCGACCTAACTGAGCCCAGCACGGGCTACCTGTTGACAGCGCCCCTTTCACTCCTTCATTAAGATCTGGGAGTTTCCGAAAATTAGGGTACCTTATTTGTGGGTCCTTATAATAAGGATCCTACTATTTAGGGTACTATATTAGGGTCCGCTATTTTCGGAAACCCCCATCTCTGTTCAGACATCCAAAAGAGTTGGGTTTTAGGCTTCTTTTAGGTATTTGCTTCAGGGCTTCTCGAGTTCATGAGTCTCTAGGCGTCTTGGATCCTCTGGGGGGTTGGTGGAGATTTAACCCAAAACCCAAAACCCTAAGCCCGTGGAGTCGTGTGCGTTTCAGATCTTCGCATTTTTTGTGCGGGGACGTTTCTTGGGACGCTCGTCCGTCAGTTCTGGGTCAAGGCGCTTGCTTGCATGCGCCCTCCTTGAAACTAAATCGGGCCGCTAAGCCCTAAACAACATCTTAAACCCTGAAGCTTAAACCCTAAACCCGATTAAACCTAAACAACATCCTCAACCCCGAATCTTGATCCGCAAAAAATCTACTAAGTACCTAGTACATTGGTACTTGGGCCCTTTGGGTAAGACTTAAAGCCCTCTCCTGCCCTCCTCGTTCCACGGCGCAGGCTCCAGAGCGCCCCTCGAAAAGGCAGAAGATCTGACGACGCGGAGCGGCCGCGTGAGAAAAAGCACGCAGATCCCATAGCTTGCAATATCCCTTAAAAATCAAGTATACCTTACATTATAGTAGTACCCTTCCCTAAACCCTAACCCTAAACCCTAAACCTAGTATGATTTAAGGTATATTCCTTCATGAAGGGATGTTGGAAGATCTGGGATCCTACAGTTCAGGATTTCTCAAAGGATGCAGAGGATAGCCGCATCGTCTACTGTGTATCCCAGAAGGTTCGGTTTAGGGTTTAGGGTTTAGGGTTTAGGGCCCTTCTCACGGTTTTGCGACCTCATTCCCTAAGAGGAGTATATATGGACCCTCCTGGGCAACCAATCGCACAAATCCCAAACCCACCGTATCCCGGACCCTAATTGGGTTTAGGGTTTTGGGTTTAGGGTGATGAAAATAGCGGAAAAGCCTGGTACAGTACGGTCTCCGAGCCCACCAGACTGGGCTTAGTGCATAAAGACCTGGCTCTCAATGTGAGAACTCAGAACTCTGACATAATGTCGAAGGGAGTTTAATATCAGTATGGTATAGGGGCCTTAATACTTCGCATAAGGCTCCTTGCAAAGGCTCTTTAAAGGGTTTTATACGGGTAAGTATAAGAGCTTCTGTAAGATTGTAATGTAGGGGCCTTAAAAATTCGAATAGGGTTTTTGGGTCTATGATACTATAAGTATAAAAAGGAAACCACCAAAAAATAGTGTTGGTAATTATTTTAGGCTTCTTTATCAGACTTCCCTTCTCGGCTTCCGTCAGAACCTTTGAGTTTAGGGTTTAGGGCGTTTAGGGTTTAGGGTTTGGGGTTTAGGGTTTAGGGCCCTCGAAACCAGCATGGCCGCCCACACTTGCTGCCTGGCATCGTGCCCTTTAGCCCTTTCATTTGGGTGATTCCTCAACAAGGCCTGCATAATGGGTATCCGTCACAGCTAGTCCTGCGAGGCTACAAGAAAGCGGAAACTCAAATGTGCTTAAACCCTATAGGCCCTAAACCCGAGACCCTAAACCCTACACCGTAAACCCTAAACCCTGAACCCTAGACCCTGAACGCTAGGACCCTAGCCCCAAAGCCCACCCTTTTCTTGCAGCAATATCGGTTCCACAGTTGGGGCACCCAAGCCGCAAGCAGTGAGTAGGAACCCTGACCCGGGGTCTAAGCATACAAGCCCTAGAGCCTGAACACCGAAACCATCCAATCTTAAACTCTGAAGCCTTATGAACCAGTGTAAACAACACTCGGAGCCAGCGGCCTTTATAATTAGAATAGGGTTTGATGCTCCTTTACAATATCCTTAGAATAAGGAATCCTAACAGTAATTTTGGTAATTATTTAGGCTTCTATATTACGCCCCAAAGATTCGGGTGTGGGCGTTGGGGCTCTCGCTCCTTACCCCTCGACCCTGATGCTTCACAACCCCCGAATCGCTACACCCCACAAAAGCATAATCCATATGCCTAAAAAATTGCTATATACTTTGGCCTTAAAGTCGTCCCCACATATATATATATATGTATATATATATATATGTATATATATATATATGTATATATATATATAGACTACTCGAAAAAAAGGAATTTGAGGGGCAACGTACATACTATTTGGATACATGGAGCCTTAGGGAATGCAGGGCAGAGACTGAAGCTGCCATGAAGTCTGCCATGGAGTTGCTCCATGTGGAGAAGCATTTTCAGAAGCATGCGCTGGTGGTGAGTGGATTGATGCTGCTGTGTGCAGCTGCCTATGCTGTTTACTAGGCAATTGAGATCATGCACTCCATGCATAGCCCGCCCGTGGTAGTTTCGATGAAGAGCTGGAATGGCATTGGGGAGTGGGCTTTCTGTAATGTGCCCCAGTTCCAAGATCACGCTCATGATGCTGGACTTGGGCTTTTTCAGAGCTACAGCGGCAATGTGAAGATACATTTGCAAGCGCTGCCAGAGGCGATGGAGGCTGGAAAGTCTGCCATCGCAGCTGACATGCGAGTATCACGACGATCTCTGCCGGTGCAAATACATGACTCCAACTATGTCAAATGCTCTATCGTAGATATGCAGAACTTAGGGGATTGAAACTCCAGCAATGTTCACCATGTGCAGTACCATCCCACATGGAGTATTACTTGTCAAGACTGGCGGGGTATGGCAAATTGTGGACGATTTCCACCACTTTTCCTACCGTATCATCAGACTGACAGCTTACGACCATGGATGGCAATACGGTTGCTCTTATGAGAAGAAGGAGTTCTTTGTCGCTCATGAACTACATGCTTTCGAATGGCCAAGTCTGCCTACTAATCATCGTCTACCTGAGATGTGCAAGTGGAAGCACTTTGATGCCGCATCGCAGTCGTTGGCCGAGACTTCCGTACTAGCTGTTATCGTTGATGAGCCACTCATCTCCGTCACCATGCAGCAAGGACTTGTACCACGGCTGTTCGTGCTTTGTGGCACCGTGGGCGGGTACATTTCGCTATCCGGTCTCATTTTTACAAGCATTTTCGTGAAGAAGTACCCACGCAGCAAACTCGCTCTCGAAATTCAGAAGCGAACACTTTTTGGCAGCCAGAAGCCAGGCAGTCCAGATTCGGAGAGCGACTTGGAGGATGCAGCGCCGCACTCGTCTGCAAGCTCCACAGTGAGGACTGGCCAACCAGACAGGGAGACGATAGGATGCTGGCTATAGAAACACAGAGTAGGCAGGTGTCCAAGACATCTTCTTGCTTGCGTGCACTGGATACTGCAAATCAGGCTCGGCGGTGGAAACAACAGCCTGGCTAAACCTTTGCGTATCCGCTGGTTGAATGTTGCCGCTCATCTTGGGTAGTGATTGTGCCATGCAGCCGCTATCGTGTGATTCAGCTAAGTCTTCCCATGCTAAGTTTCAGTTGCTTTTCCTGCCACCGAGTGACATCATTGCACAGTGTGGGCTGGGGAACCCCCAAAGCTGGTGAGCCCTCAGGCCATGAACATCCTGAACCGCAACGCCGCAGCCCATTATGGGGATCTAATTTAGGGTCCCTGTTTAGGGTCCGTTTTATAAGCGTGCCGTAGTATCTTGGGGGCCTAAAAAGGGACCCGCAGTTAGAAAACTACTCACATCTCGATGCGGAAAACCTGAAACGTTCATCCCGCTGCCAAGCCATGGCCCTTCGATGCGGGAGGGACACCACTTGCAGCGGCCAGGCGTGTCCCAGGGTTATTATAACCCAGAGGGTCCATATACACTACCATTATGGAATTAGGTCCCAAAAGACCATCCCTAATATGGTTCTGGGGACCTAATTCCATAATAGTAGTATATATGGACCCTCTTGGTAAGGGTCTATACTTCAGGGTGAAGAGGCGGGGAGCCCATGCACCTTGGTTCGGAAGCACGGCTTAAGTTCTCCAGATCTTCTCAGTGTAACTTCGTGCGGGATCGTTCCTTCTAGCCAAGGGTGTTGGTCTCTCCGGGCAGCCGGGGTTTCAGGGTTTAGGTGTTTGGGGTTTAGGGTTTAGTTTGGGTTCTTTTTGGTTCTGGGCTGCTCTAGCGAGTGTGACTTCGTAGCTGCGTAGGAAAGGTGATCTTTTTCGGGTTTGTCTTTTCTTATTCTACCTGAAGGCTCATATACAGGGTTCGGAACAACTGGTAATACTATCCCCTCCTCGTCCAGTACAATAATGCCATAACAAGACCCCATTCAAGAACCCTGTTCGAATCCTGGAGGCCCCGTATATCCCCCCTAAGACTCCTGCAACACTCAACTGGGCTCTTGCTAAGGCGTTAGCAAAATTCAATTTTAGTTGCCATAGTAGGGATCTATAGTAAATAACGTGGTTTCCTTATTATAGTAACTTAAAACAAAATCCCTTGACAAGAACCCAGTCAACCCCAGAACCAACTCTACACTCCCAGATCCTCAACTGAAACGACCCGCGCCATATGCTTTCCAGGCAACACTCAAAGTCCTAGGACTCCACCTGGGAATGTCAGAATATGGGCACTGATCTAGCACCCTCTGTCGGGTTTAGGGTTGAGGGGGTTTAGTCTTCAGGGTTTAGGGTTCAGGGGATCGGGGATCTATCCCTAAGGGTCCATGTACCCAAATAGTAGGTACTTTGGCCCCAAAGTGTCCAAATAGGGACTACTTTAGGGCCAAAGTATCTACTATTTGGGTACATGGACCCTTAGGGTATGTTTATTGTGGGGACCCGTCATGTCAAGAAACCCTAAACCCTAAACCCTAAACCGAGAAACCCCCGATTCCGAACGCAGAGGCGCCGGCTGTCGTCACGACTGGCGAACATCGGAGCAGGCCTACCTAGAAATCCAGAGACGGAGGAAGTATACCATCACATCGTAACCCTAAACCCCTAAACCCTAAACCCTGAACTTAAAACCCTAAACCCTAAACCCTAAACCCTAAACCCTATACCCTAAACCCTAAACCCCTAAACCCCTAAACCCCTAGACCCTAAGTTCGGCACTTCTGGTAGCAAGGGTTGGGAGGTTTGGGGTCCCGAGCTCCGCGCCGGCCATTTCAGGGACTTAGCACTGCCTTCCACTACCATAGGTTTGGAGTTTTGGGTTTAGGGTTTAGGGTTTAGGGGTTTAGGGTATAGGGTTTCACTGCCTTCCTAGGTTCCTGAGTAGTACCCTTTTGCCCTTTTTGTTTTGGGGTCTCCTTATCAAAACCGAATACTAGGAAAAAGGGTGCCCTTATGATTTCGGGGTCATTCAGGAACCTCGCTTCAACTACCATAGGTTTGGAGTTTTGGGTTTAGGGTTTAGGGTTTAAGGTTTACCATAGCCTAATTTTTTTGTAGGTTCTTATTCTAAGCTTGATATAGAATTCATAGGGACCCTACTCAAAAGTAGGTTCTGCTAGTTCAAGCTGGGGTTTGGTGTATTCGTGTATTGTTTTTTTTGGGTGGTTTTGGCACCTCACGAAGTCACTGCTTTCTCGTCATGAGCGTGTTGCTCGAGATCGTAAGCTTAAGGCTACTGCAGAAAGCGGATTCAGGGATCAGTGGCTTTGGATAACCCTAAACCCTAAACCCTAAAAGGATGACTACGGCAGCCGAGATCTGCAGTACGGCGCGGCAAACTGAGGCATTTGTGTCCAGATTTTATTACGCAGCCCATGCGAACCAAGCTCTGGAGCTTTGGTGAGCCCGTCAACATTAGTAGGCCGTAGGGGACCCAGGCTTTAGGATACAAGCTCTCTTACCTAGATTAAGGTTTAGGTTAAGGTTTTAGGTGTAAGCTCTATTACCTAAATTAAGGTTTAGGTTCAGGGTTTAGGCTCCGAATGTCTAATTTGCACGGGTGATTCTTACGGTTCGCCCCTGCGCGAAATGCGAACCGCTGAGACCAGTAGGTTTTGGGCAGTATCAGGCCTTTCCCCACCCTCAACCCTAAACGGCCATAAACCCTAAACCCTAATTAAACTCTGAGCCCTTAAACCGACTTCGACTGCGGCCCGCCAGGTGCCCCAAACACTTTCCGCCTGGCTTGAGCACAGGAAGGTGCGGGCGTTGTGGGTTTAAATAGACTTTGCATGGGGTTTTGTGCGCCTTTCTCGCTTCGCAGAGTTGGAATTCTCTTGGAGGTTCAAAGTATCCTGCAAGGGTGGCATTTAGCCGAAACCCTAAGGCTCGAAATAGCCCAAAAGC